ATAACTTTGGAAGTTTTGTTTAGATAAACAAATCAGTTTATCCGTAGAGTATTTACCCGGTGTTCGTAATATAGACGCGGATTGGGCTTCACACTTTCTAAATGATAGCAGTAATTGGAAACTTAATCCAGATATTTTCAAACAAATGGTAAACTCCTTCAGTTCTTTTCAAATCGACTGTTTTGCAGATCGCCGGAATGCTCAATTACCATCGTATTTTAGCTGAAAACCAGATCCGGATGCGTTAGGAACGGATGCATTCCAGAAAGATTGGTCTACCTTTTGCGGGTATTTGTTTTCGCCGCTTTGCCTCATAAGTCAGTGTTTACAAAAGATAAGAAAAGATCGAGCAACGGCTGTACTTATTGCACCGGCTTGGTCAGGTCAAACTTTTTATTCTCTGCTCTTACAAATGTTAATAGAACCACGAATTCTTCTCCCCAACTACAATCCGTTGCTACTCAGTCCAACGGGGGGGGGGGGGGGGTTAAACCGGTTTTAAACCCCCAAAAATTTAAATGCGGGGGTGTAAATTGTGCCGGGCCGGATATTTTTTTTAAAAAATTTAAACAAAACAAAAGAAAAAANCCCCCCCCCCCCCCCCCCCCCCCCCGCCCCCCCCCCCCCCCCCGCCCCCCCCCCCCCCCCCCCCCCCCCCCCCCCCCGCCCCGCCCCGGCGCGCATCCGATGTTAACAGCGCAAACATTGAATCTCGCGGTGTGAAAAGTGTCCGGGCAGGAAGATGTATTGAAAAAATTTCACCAACAGCAAGAGAACTCATTCTTAATGCAAGACGCACAGGCACACGATTCAGATATGACTGTTGTATTAAGAAGTACGACAGCTGATGTCTCGAAAGGAAAATTGATTTTTTTTCAACCAATTTGGAAAATATACTAGAATTTTTAACCTTGTTATATGAGAAAAATTTCGAGTACAGTTTAATAAATTTATATAGATCAGCTCTTTCTTCATATCTTCCCGACATTGAAGATTACAAAGCGGGACAACATCCACTGGTTATTGCATTGATGAAAGGCATTTTCAATCACCGTCCACCGCAGCCATGGTATAAAATAACTTGGGATGTTAACCGTTTACTCGATCACATCGTCTCCTTAGGAAACAACGATCAAACTATGAAAGTTCTTACTCAAAAGTTAGCAACATGGTTGCGCCTTAGTATGCTTCTTGTATTTCAGAGTTACATAAATTAAAATTGAAAAATCTTTTAATTTATGATGATAGACTAGAATTTTCATTAGATGAATTAACAAAGACACAAAAGAACAGCAGAAAACTAAATAATTTAGTTTACAATAAATTTGTAGGCAATGACGGTCTCGACATTGTCACAACACTATTGTACTACATTGAAAGAACCACATCTTATAGAGACATAGACAAAGAAGAAGATGATAGACTTCTTCTCCCCCACATCAAACCATATATATCATCCAGCAAACGTCTCGACTATAGCTAACTGGATTAAAACGATGATGAAATCTGCTGGCATTAATGTAGATAGATTTAAACCACATTCTTGCAGAGCAGCAGTAACGACGAAAGCTTTTGCACAAGGTCTCACTCTTTCCGATATCATCAGAACAGCAAACTGGACTAATACGAAAATTTTTCAACGGTTCTACCTCAAAGAACTAAAAACAAATGAAACAAAAGCTTTTCAGCACACTATTTTGAGGTACAATGAGAGCCTTTGAACATACTAAGGGAACTGTGACTGAAGTTTATGATATGAAATTGGGAATTTTATGAGAGATTGAAGCTCTCGATATGAAATTAGAATTTTATGAATAAACTTCAGTCACAATTTACTTAGCCCAATTTACCCGCCCACCTCGCCCGTAAAACAACTAACGATGATCGTATTTACTTTTATTTAGACCATACAAACAATCAGCTTTGAAGGGGAGAATACAGAAGAGGCAGCCACAATGATGCTACATCATGAGTGTTTTTCTTATAGTTTCAATATAGAATAGACTTCAGTTTTTGTTTTTGTTTTTCTCTGTTTGTTAGTAAATGTGTTGAACTAAATAAACTGAATAAAGAGACACTGACAGCAGTTTACCTGTACGCACATACTTTCTTTTCGCCAAATTACCAGAATGACAGTTATTTTCTTCTTTGAACGGCTAGTAACTAGGAGTCAAATGGAGGGAATACTAAGTAAATTGTGACTGAAGTTTATTCATAAAATTTTAATTTCATATCGAAAGTTTCAATCTCTCATAAAATTCTCAATTCTTTTGTATTTTTATATCCATGACAATGATATTTTTAGTAAATCGAAATGTAGGAAACCGCTGTTTTAGTTTATTGTTCTTAGTAAATTATTTTGATTCCATATTCCAATCCCAATTTTTCTAATTTTGTAATGTTCTTGAAAGCTGGATGTTTCTTCACAATGTCTTGTAATTCAGACATTTACAGCTGACTGGAACGGTCAAATCAAGATGCAATGTGATGTTAAGCAAGCCATGAGACATGCCCTTATTTGGTCCACTGGTAAAATAACAGTTGACCACTTGTTTTCTATTTTGATCATCCATATATTCAATATACATGACTGGGCATCTGATTCCGAGTTTCGTTCCGAAATCTGTAACGTTGTATTTCTTGCTGGTGTGTGTCCTTGGGTTGTCAACAATGATCTCAATTGAATGCTTTTTAAATTGAGTATATTACTGTCAAAAACCGTCAAACTGCTTGCCTCTTCTGTTTTCTGCTGTAAATTCGTTCAGATCATGATTGAGAAATATTGTTGCCCATTGTGTGAAGATTTGATTGTCATACCTCCAATTGAAGTTAATAACTGTTCATAATCACGCCATGAAAACGTCAAATGTCTTAACATAACACGTATATTAATGTACTCAAATATTTACGACTACAATCTTGTGCACATAATGTAAACAAATCACCGATATCTGAGTTGGAAACTAGAATCATTCGCGTAAGAAAAAAAAGAAAAGCGTTTTAGATTGTTTATTTTTTACTCTAATCTACATACTTTAACAACTGCATAAAAAAATTTAGTAACCGCAAAGGGTAGAAAAGCGCTAAATATGCTACTCACTTCTTTTCAAAATCAGTTTTTTGTATTAAAGCTTCGCCGGTCATGGTAGAATTATAGGGCTGACTCGCCTTTCTGTTCGTGTGATATCTTCAGAGTGAAAAACTGTTTTTAACGACTCTCACTCTGAAGATCGAGACGTTAAAACTTGGCAGTATCAGATAAAAGATGGAAGTTAAATTTCGTACAAAATTGTCTATGATCGACACTTCTTCGCAGTGGAAACCTCTATAGTAGCTTTTAAGAATTTTACTCCTTCTTTACGCTGACTGGTAAGCCTAAAACGTACAGGCATTTCATATACTTTTGTGACACTCCCTCCAAGACTTCGAAGAAGACGGAGTTTCGGTTATATACTCAAAAACCGGTGTTATCATGGGCTTTTTGAAGCTACTTAAAATCTGATATTACTTTCGGTCACAGCCTCTTAAAATTGTGATCACAACCTCTTAAACTGGCGGTGACAATCACTTAGGTCGGTCAGCCTGTTACGTACTGTCTGATATCGACTGATATCAGGGGAATGTTTTTCAGGCGATCACAACCTCTGAAAAGGTCGGTCACAACCTGTTACGAGGACGGCTATGTTTTGCAGCCATTTTTTCTAAGATTAGTTTTTACGTTACAAAGTTTTCCATCATTGTTGCATCGAGTGGTTTCTTCATTAGCGCAAAATCGACTTTTTATACGGGGAACAGAATCGGTCCAAATTTCTTTTCTGAAGAGCTTATTATGTGAATCGACGGGCAGCAAAGTATTTCTTCATTCAAATCATTTTTCGCATTTTGGCGGGCATAGTGGCGCCACTTAAAACGCGCTACTATTCGCGCCAAAATGCGAAAAATGATTTGAATGAAGAAATACTTTGCTGCCCGTCGATTCACATAATAAGCTCTTCAGAAAAGAAATTTGGACCGATTCTGTTCCCCGTATAAAAAGTCGGTTTTGTGCTAGTGCTCCTCCATTGACTTTTTTAAAAAGATAATGGACGATCTAATTGTGAAGAGTGTCACACAAGCAATACGTTACTTGATAAACAGTGTCATAAGGCATATACCTGAACGCCGTCGATTTAGAAAATGTTTACATATGAATTACAGATGAATAAGTTTCATTTTCAGTTTTCCGAAATAAAACAACTAGTAGCAAATTGTTTCTAAGCAAATTTTTCGCTGATTTTTATTGACCTATCTTGATCAGTATAGGGAGTTTCAGCTTTTGGTACGTACCACCTTGGCAAGGTTTTTATCTTTACTTGACTCATCAGTATAAAGTTCTGTATTCGTTTGAAATACTTCCCAATACGTATAAATCACCAGTTGTCGGATCAAGTGCCAATTACACTAATTTATCATTGCCTTTTGCCGTAAGATCTACACCGTTTATACCAGTTTCTAAAGTGGATGTAAAAATTGTATATAATCTGATCCATCAGCGATGAACAATCAAGTTGAAAAACACCGAATGACCGATGTCAATTCCGCTTTCATGCTGTGACAGTATCATTTGAATTTCTCAAATCCCATTTTTACGATACGCCATAACTTTTTTGATTCAGTATAAACAATTCATCATTGTTAAATGAATTTATGTAAATATTCATTGAAAAAAGTATTCGGTTGTAATGGTCAGTATGTGATGTCAGATTCTCTGTTACAATGAGACTATCGGTATAATTCGGTGAAAACCATTTAATAGTATTCATAAAAGGGTATCGTTATAAGCTTTATTTAGTGAGGGTGAGGGTGTGATGATTCTATCATGACCGGCGAAGCCTTAATACAAAAAACTAATATTGAAAAGGAGTGAGTAGCATATTTAGCGCTTTCTCTACTCTTTGAAATTGAAACTATGCTTTTTGTGCTGATTTTTGTTTTCTTCTCTTTCTTTCTGTTAGCGTCTATCAATTCAAATTCATCATCATCGTTATGTTCAGACCTTTTTCATGATTAACCATACCACAGACACGATCAATGTGATCCAGAGCCCAGTCACTGACATGTGTAGCAATATCATAACAGAAAATATAAATCGAATCAACAGATTTGAATTGTTCAGCAATAACTTGTTTTCCGAACGCTCCTGATGTAATTATAACCAACGTTTTGTCTTGATTTTCTTGAATCTTACTTAGAAACGCTGAAATTGTGTCAACAGCAACAAACGATGGTGATCGTACTATGAAACCTTCCTTGGTCTCAATCACTGTAGCATCACCATGGCCGACGGTCATACTGATATCATTTTGTATACTAGTATAATTGCGGATATGATCATCTAACCAAATTAGCAAGTATTGTGGGACGTACGGTATATTCATAACATTGCTTAAACTGACAACTAAAAAAAGAATCGACGCATGATATCTTTGGATGACAGAGTAAAGATGTTGAAATTGAAGCATCCGTACCTAGTTCACGAACCTCTACGTATATTTCATAGTTTCGTGGATTTGGGAAGCCTAAAAAACAGATAAATACTCTTTGTGCAAAACTACTAATATAAAAGTAAGGTTCTCAAGCACCAGCACTCAACATACGTTCTTTATTTGGTTGAGATTGGTCTTGTTCGGATTGTAAAAATTCACAAAACTCCTTTGCCTGGTCAACTTCCCCGATGCCATATAAAAAATCTTTGAATGTAGCACTAAGATTATTTTGCAAAAACCTTCTTTTCAGATAGTTGTCATAAAATTCTCTCTCAATCTTTTCTTCTTCCGCGCCTCTAACGAGCAGCACTTCCCATAAGTTTTCCTAAAACAAGTATCAGAAACAATTAGATGAAAGATGGAAGTTTTGATTACCACTTTTAGCTTACATAGAGGTGCTTAATTGATTTATAACCGAAAGCCATTCCCATTGAAAATAATACTTCGTTTTCGCTGTCGTAGTATGTAAACTTATTTATGAACGCAAATCTAACGCCCCAACAATGTCCTATGTCTATTTTGTATTTGAATAAGATCGAAACCTTTCCTGATATTCTGCCAAATCCACTAAATAGCATAGCTACTGATTTATCTAGTGTAGTTGATAAGAACGTGAGATTTACCTCAAATTTGCCAATCCTTTTTTTAAGTTGTTCAAACTCATCGAAAGTTATTGCGCGACCTCTACCCATGTTCCCTCGCCTCGTTCCCCTACGGTTGATATTTGTCGTTCATCTAGGAGAGCTAGGTCTTTGACAATTGTCAATTCGTCAATATTTAACGGAACGATGGGATTAAGTGTAAATATGTGAGGTATCATTGATTTTGGTAATTCATTTCCTTTAGCCAAAATTTTAATAGTTATTGTATCATGCATTATATACGGATTTTCACTCTGATGCAACATCGTTAGCGGAGCAAATTTCGGTATACCCCAACCAGGATTCATTCCAGCATGAGGACGTTGGAATGACGGCAACTTACCGAAATCACAAGGTGAAAAAGATCGAATAATATGACGATTTTCACCACTTTGATCAAATAGACAAAACATAACTTCGAAGGAAAACGGCCATTGAAGTAACTGATCGAATTCACCACGCATCAAAACAAAGAAGATACTTATATGTGTTCCTCTTGCGTTTTTTTCGTTGCCATCTGGATATAGACGTGCTCTCATTTTATAACCGGATGGAGACGAATAAAACGGTTGGGAATAGATTGGTAACGTTTGCTGTTCTTGAAGCTGAGCAGCGCGCATCTTCTACCGAATATTAACAATGGACCATAATAAGCTTCGGTCGTGAGAAAAATTTTCAGTCTCTGTTATGGTCTCTATAGCTGTATATAATAGTGATTCGATTACTTTTCGTTCTTCTTCTTCCGTTACATTTGAATCGAAAACATTTTCCAATACCCGAATACAAGAAAAACCCTAACACATTCATCATGACTTACAAAATGGTTCCCCACTTACGTCATTGACAAATGACGAATTTAAATTTAATTCGACCATCGAACCCACGGAACGCGAAACTTCAATTACACGAATATAACCTTATTTTTTCGATTCGACAAAGTTTTCATGAAGAAAACCGCAGAATACTGTAAGAGTCTAAAAATTCGCAAAAAGCTTCCTTAAGAAAAAATAGGGCTTAGCTCTTTGCTATTCAACTTTCCGCTCTCACCATTATGATTTTTGGATTCCTTATATAAAAATAAGTCTAGAACTGTTATCTAGAGCCTTATCACATATTAAATGTCCAAAGTAAAAAATCATGCTACAATATAGCTTCGTTGGTAGCGACCAGTTTCGCAAACCTATTTAGTTTTTTGTATTAAGAAGTAGAACCTTCATTCATATTCCATTCGAATCGCCGTTTCATGCGCAAAAATAATTCGCATTGCTTTTTTTGGAATTTCTCTCCATAACTGAGAAATTTCACTTTTTCTAAATTAGAGGCAAAAAAAGTCAGAATTCTGCCTGTACTTTTCAATTTTCTCCATCAGAATACACTTTTTATGCCATAAAAGTAACATATTCGGAGTCAGCGTCGAAAACTGAGCCGAATAATATGCGTTTCGAAAAGTTTTGTTGATTTGCATTTTTTGATGAAAATCTCAGTAATTTTTCGACGTGAAAATACAATCGCGCAATAAACTGACAGGTCAAACGCCGTTTATTTCTTAGTGTCGGTTCGACGTGCAAGCAAAATTTGATCTCAGAGTAAAATACATACGGATTATTACGTTAAAGATGTGGCGCAAATGAAGATTTTAAAATTAAAAATGCACCTTTAAATAAAAAATAGAATGTATCATCTCACTTTTTATTTGAGGCATCCTGCTTCAAACCTACCATAATGTAGATACCCCTGCTTAAAAAGTAACTTTTATTACAATATAGAAAAAAAGCCTGCTAAAAATAATTTTTAGTAGTATTTGTTTTATCGTACAATTCATAAAATTTGTCGTCTGGTTTCTTCTTCTTCCTGTTTGGTGAATTTTCGTCCTTTTCCTCCTCATCATCGCTACCTTCCAATGCCGTTGGACATGTTCGTTTCGCCACGAAATTGATCATTGGTATGACAAGTAATTTGAAGATTAGAAAAATGACACCAAATATTTCCAGGCAGACAATGGTAAAAAGGAGACAATAGAAAATAATGTCGGCTTCCTTTGCAATTGGTTGTTGAATGTTTTTAATAAAAAATGCTGTTTCACTCACGGTGAGTGTTAATGTTGTTTGTGTCAAATTTGAATAATGAAAATAATCGTTATAGGTCAAAAACATTTCATTCAAATTCACTTGAAACATTGGAATCCAAAGAGCGTTATATTCTTCTTCTCCGGAATCCGAGAGTGGATCGGTTCGATTGATGACTTTTGTCAGTTGAAGGCTAATGGCGAGTGTTTGTGCCAGTGTGCTTGTCGGTACACTGAAAGGTTCATAGAACTGCAGTTGTTGCATTGAATAACTGCCAATTTCCAGTTCGTCTCCAGACAAACCAACTCTCAGACCGCCAATCGGTGAAACGCTGTTCAAAATAATTTCAGCGGTGATACTTTGATAGGGCAGCACGAATGCAATCGATAGAATCGAATTTTCGTTCGAACATGCCGTCAAGTCGATTTCGGTTTGACCAAAATTCTTCAACAGTTCGACTGCGACATTCGTACATAGAATTTGAGTATTAACAAAATCAATGTGAACAGTGAATTGTTGATTGTTCAAAATGTTGAACATGTTTTGCTCGTCGATGGTCAACGGGACAGCCAGAGACTGAAGACCCGTGGTAAATTTTGCATTTCGTATCGTTGGATCACAGGCAAAGTTCGAATTTGTTGTAAGACGTTCGATCGGGTATCGATGCAAATATAAGGTGCTGAACGCATAGGCGAAACAAACAAGAACCATAATGGAAAAGGAAGCCAAGCCTCCTACCCAAAATTCGCCTTCGCCGACTAAATCGGTTTGTCGAAAAACTCGCCGTATCTCGCGTTGCCATTTTTTACTTCTCGGATCTTTTGGCACGAAAAGTTTTAGTACACACATGAAAGTTATGACAAACAGTGCCATAACACTGACAATCAATGCCCAGAACAATGGTGAGATAATGAGACAGTGAGTACCCCAGTGAGGACCCGTTCGTCCGATTGTGAACATATTTTGCAGGAGAATGTCGTCGAATTGTGTCGATTCTGGCGAGTCGGGATAGGTTTGAGCTTGTGATACTTGTGCAAGTGCTGTCTCATTGACTTCAGCGACGGCACCTAATGGACAAAATGATGTCGACGATGAACATGTCGAACATAGTGTGGTATCATTGCCGGTATTTTTCGTACCTTGTGGACACAAAATACAAGGATCGACACCGGAATGACTAGAATAAGTGCCTGGGATACACACAGCGGGCATGCTAAACGCTGGTGATGTGGAATTTTGGTTTAGAAATGGAGAGTAACCGGGTGAGGTTGGTAACAGAATGAGAATGTTGCCAATTTGATCGAGTACGATGAGCGCACCGGCGGGTGTGGATATAATATTTAACAATACGGAACTAAACGCATCGGGTAATGAAGCTTGCAAATTGGGAAACAGTGATATTTCACTGTTGATTGTTCCATTGGTAATTTCATAAAAGTAGACATTGGACGAAATCCATGTTTCCGAATCGAATGTGTATTGATTCGTGAGAACAGCTGCAATCGAATCGTTCAACCAAGCAACACCCTTTCCGTAGCCATAGTATCGTAGCCCATTGTCTCGGCTACTCAACTGTGTCAGTTGGCTATTAGCATTGACTGAAAGAAGAAAAATTTGATTGATGGCAGGAATGCCAACGAGTATTTGTCCCGTTTCGTCGTTGATATCAAGTGACATTTTATAAGAATTCGCGGTTCGATACTGCTGTGTTTGATCGACGTATGTCCAATTGCTAATTATTGTCAATGATGGTTTGTTCAATGGATTCCAATTGAAAAGGTAAACAACTGGCGTATTCGTGCCATCGAGCTGACCATTGTCGGTGTAACCAGCGGCTACAATGAAACTCGCATTTTGAACAACAATGGCTGCAGGCATAAAATGGGACGTCGTCCATGTCTCATTACTATTCCACAAGACGAATGACGACGAATCGACCAAATAGACAAATATAAATTCTTCTGTAATGCCGAACGCATGTTGACCTTGTGGTTCAATACCAAGAACAAAATATTGTTGATGGTTGTAAGCATCTGTTAGATAAGTGATTGAATACGTGTAACCCGAACAGTTTATCGCAGTAGTGGTATTCAAAATGCCGATGAACGTGCTGCTATTATCATCCGATATGCCGTCGTCAATTTCGCCGGCAAAAAAAACCGATGTCGCCGTTGGATGACGACCCACGGCCACCATGTAAATGTAGAGCGATTCGGCAATATTATAAGTGGTGAAGCACTGTTGTTGGTTCGTACTCGAGTTGTTGTACGGTGCATAACTGATACGAAAATATTGTTGATTATTATTCGTATCACTGTTCAACACTTCGACAATTAATTGATCATTACCGGCAATTTTCAAACCTAATGCATCGTAATTGCTCGTATAAGAAGAAAAGGTATAGCCATTTGTTTTATGAATAAATACAACAAATAAAGTTAATGCTGTTAATATCAATAATCGATAAGAACAAGCAAGCATGACTGTTACGTTTTAAGTTGTTCTCTTCTCATCTGAATGAAATAGCGATAAATGAAAAAAAAATGACTCAACGTATGTAGGATGTTGTGATTCCATTAAAAAGTAATAAAAATCATTGATCAATTAAGAAATAGTATATTCAACAAAACAAAATCGAAGAGTAGGACTTTTCTCCTCTGCTCTTTTTCTCTCTTTAATGACTCTATTGTATCAACAAGTACATACAGTACATTTTAATACTACAGAGACTAAGAGGAATGAATAAAATCAGAACTTTTACAACTTCATGACGTCCTTATTACGAACGAAAAATCAGGTTTCATGTCGATTTACTACTAAGGCCGCCTGGCGAAATAACCTTTATTATTCTTCGTCCGATATCAATGAAAATTCCAGCAGTAGTTAACTTTGTGAGAGATGCTCACAATAAAAGAATTCAACGTCCCACCTATAGTTCTTCGAGGAGCTTTTGAGACCTTAACATCCAGATATAAACTGCTCCTTCCACCCAGTATGCCCAAAGAACTTTTTTCGAGGTTTTGCTCTTTGTTGCTCTAAAGATTCCAAAACTGTGTACTAGAATTAGAACTTTACGCTCATTCCGATGCGTGTTCAGAGCTTTTGTAGTGCTTTGTTGTGGGACACTACAAAATACATTGAAACTTTCAAAAATTTTCTTCTATCGGCAAGAAAAGTTAGTTTTATCGCCTGATAGATTTATGCAATTTCTTCCAGACTCTATTAGTACTTGCCCTCTCGAAAGTGTTCAAGAACCTTTTATAGAGTGTACATGTAGGTCAAGGTCCATAGTTGGACACCCGACAATATGAAATTTCTTTTCATTCTTCAACGCTGTTCAACTTCTACTTTAGATAATACGGAGTAAAAAATCAAAAATTTTCAGCGAATCTCGAATGAGTACTATACGAAAAAGGTCATCAGTCTTACTTTTAAGATCCTAACAGATTCTCATCCAATCTTGAAAAATCTTACACAATATAATCTTATTAAGATCTTAGTAAGATTGGAGTAAATTTTCCAGTAGGGTATTTACACTGAACCTTAGATATTTATGAGAAAACACCTGAGTTTTTATTCTCATCCGAATAAATTGTTGAGACTTTCCACATTGCGCGTGCAGTGTTTTATATCAAAGTGCTACAAAAGTTCTGACATATTCAGAATGGGCGTAAAATTTTGAGCCTAGCTCATATCGTGAAATATTTTAAGGCGTTTTTATGTTACTTTGGTACTGAAAGGGTTAAGCAAAACCAGACAGCAGATACAATCAAGCATAAGCTCATTAAAGTATGTGCATCCTGGTGAAAGAAAAATCAACCAAACCAGAAATTCGGGTTGAAATGAAAAAAGGAAAAGAACACACGAATGGAAGAAAGAAATCAAGAAGGGTAAGAAGCGACACCAAAGTCCTGAGAAGAAGTGGAAAGTGGGAAAAGCTCTAAAACTCAGCTAGTAGCTCTTTAAATATTCAAAGGAACCTCAGAAAGTAGCTAGCTGTTGGAGGTGAAAATGACGTTCAGCGGATGAAAAGAATGCCCATGGCGTCAAAATCACGTAAATTTCAGTGATTAGTCGCGATTTGCAAAAATATCGACGATAAATCGTGATTTCAAATAAAATTTGTTTTTGCGGGTGAGAAGTTTCATCTCAGATGTATCTTTAGGTTCTTCATCGGTGTATTTTTCAGTTCTAATTCAAAACGTTACTGGCGTTGGATCTCAGAATAGAAGTGAGAGGGGCTGTCTTTGTGTTTCATCTGTGAGTTGTGCCAATAAGGTAACGTTTGCCGTATGTGAACAAAACATTCACACTTGAACTTCCAGTGAACGTGCATCTGTAGATACTTGACACTCGGATCAGTTCGTTGCTAGAGCCAATCTAGCGTCCTGTGATTGAGGTGCTCTGGTTGTGCCGCTATCCTCTGTACGTCAAACAGGATCGAAATGATCGCTGCTATGTTCTGAAAGACTCAAACGGCAAAACGATCTTACACAGAGGGAATTTACATGATAACTCAACCTTTGTGTGCATTACTCTCACTGTTGCGCATTTTCATTCTGAGATCTCTGCACAGTCAACATATTTAACTGAACCTGCACATGGGAGAAGACTTTAGATGTGGTGCATTGTCCGAGAAAGAATATTCTCTTTCGATTCTAAAACTGTCCAGAAGAAAATAGTTCAACTTTGACAAAAAAATTAATTTTCCTCTTCGAATGCTCTTCTTCACTCGAAAATTACTGTGTGATGACAATAGTTTGATAGTTAGTCTATTTCCATTAAGTACAACAACACCCAAAAAAACACTCGTTGCACTGCGTTAAAAGGTTAAGAAATGACTAACTGACTTGTATTGTATATCTATTATATACGTTAAAAGAGAATAAAGAATAAACACAGTGGACGATAATATACGCACACTGTATGTCTGTTTTTCTCCTTCTATCAACGGATGGAAGAAATAAAAGAACATTACATCGTTACAGAGTAAATTAGAGGAAGAGTTCCCCCCCAGTTTTCAAAAAACGGTTGAAAGATTTTCGGATTTTTATGTTCTCCGATTTTTGAGGTACTTGCATCTTGCTTTTATATCTTCGCACTGCCCTTGGCCAAGGGCTACTTTTCAATATAAAACTTTTATCTCTGGGATACTTAGTAATTCAATCGTTGGACCGCTACAGTGAGTCTCATCGGAGAAGTCCGAAGTGAAATTGTTTTCTCGATAACTCAGCGGGGGTGTTTCGACAGCGGAGGGATGGAGAGGAAAAATGGAGTAGAGGAGTGTTATTT